TCCCCCCCCCCCCCCCAAGGTGCACGCACACATCCTGAGCCGCCTGAAGAAGGAGATGCCGGCTGTGTTCGGGAAGGGGCACAAGAAGAAGCAGCTCATCGCGCAGCTGCCGCTGCTGTTCGCGCGCATCCAGATGGAGCAGCACATCCCGCCCGGCGACTTCCCCGACTGCGCCCGCATGCAGGTCTGCACCCGGCCCCACCTCGACGCCGACCCCAACCTGAATCCCAGCCCCGATCCCATCCTCAACCCCGACCTGAATCCCAATCCCGCCCCGATTCCAACCCCGACCCCAATCCCATCCTCAATCCCAACCCGATGACCCCAATCCCATCCTCAATCGCAAACCCCTGTGACCCCAATCCCAGTCACCCCAGTGACCCCCAACCCAGTGACCCCAATCCCAACGACTCCAATCCCAATGACCCCAATCCCAGTCACCCCACTGACCCCCAACCCAATGACCCCAATCCCAACGACTCCGATCCCAATGATCTCAATCCCAACAACCCCAAGCCAATGACCCCAAGCCAGTGACCCCAAATGACCCCAATCCCAATGACCCCAATCCCAATGATCTCAAATGACCCCAATCCCAGTATCTCCAATGACCTCAACCCAATGACCCCAGCTGACCCCAATCCCAGTCACCCCAATGACTCCAACTCAACAACCCAATCCCAATGACCCCAAATGGCCCCAATCCCAATCATCCCAGTGACCCCAATGCCAATGACCCCAATCCCAGTGACCCCAAATGACCCCAATCCCAGTCACCCCGCCGACCCCAAATGACCCCAATCCCAGTCACTCCAATGACCGCAGATGACCCCAATCCCAGTCACCCCAATGACCCCAACCCATCGACCTCAGCCGACCCCAACCCCAGTCACCCCGCCGACCCCAAATGACCCCAATCCCAGTCACCCCGCCGACCCCAAATGACCCCAATCCCAGTCACCCCACCGCCCCCAGCCGACCCCAACCCCCGCCGTCCCGCCGCCCCCCAGGAGCAGCTGCTGGCTCAGGACCTGACTCGCTTCCCGGCGCTGAAGCCGCGGCTGCTGGAGGCGCTGGAGGAGCTGCTGACGCGGGACATCGCCGCGCTGATGCCGCTGCTGCGCCGCGAGGAGGGGGAGGCGGCGCCCGGGGTGCAGGGAGGGGCGTTCGAGGGAGCGCGGCGGGGGCCGTTCGTGGAGGGGGCGGAGGAGGACGAGGAGGAGGAGGGCGAGGGCGGCGAGGACGAGTGGGTGGTGACGAAGGACAAGGCCAAGTACGACGAGATCTTCTACGGGCTGTGCCCGCTGGGCGGCAAGCTGAGCGGGCGGCAGGCGCGGGGCTGGATGGTGGGCAGCAAGCTGCCGCGCTCCGTGCTCGGCCGCATCTGGCAGCTGAGCGACGTGGATCGGGACGGGATGCTGGACGCCGAGGAGTTCGCGCTGGCCGGGCACCTGATCGGAGCCAAGCTGGAGGGCAGGGGGCTGCCCAGCGACCTCCCGCCGCGCCTCGTGCCGCCCTCCAAGCGGCGCCAGAAGGGCTCGGCGGAGTGAACGGGAATAAAAGGGACGGAGAGCGGCGCCGAGAGTCCGTGTGTGCGGGGCGGGGGGCGTTGGGGGGGG